TACATTATTTATAGAATCTACAGTAGTGTACAGGAATGTCCTAGGCCTTCAGATTCACTCACCACTCACTCACTGACTCACCCAGAGCAACTTTTAGTTCTGCAAGTTCCCTTCATAAGTGCCCTTTACAGATGTGCCATTTTTATCTTTTATATTATATTTTTGCTGTATATTTTCTAGGTTTAGATATGTTTAGATATACAAATACTTGCCATTGTGTTACAGTTACCTATAGCATTCAGTATAGCAACACGTTATATAGGTATATAGCCTAGAAGCAATAGGCTATACTATATAGCCTAGGTGGGTAGTAGACTATACCATATAAGTTTGTATAAGTGCACTCTATGATGTTCACATGATGATGAAATAGCCTAACAATGCATTTCTCAGAACATATCCCCGTCATTAAGTGATACATAACTCTACATATACGTGTGTGTACTCATTCATTTAAAGAAGAAGGAAATTCTGACATTTTTGACAAAATGGATGAACTGGGAGGACATTATGCTAAATGAAATAAGCCAAACACAGAAAGACAAATACTGCATTACTGCATGATCTCACTTTTATGGGTGAGGGCTGGAGGAAATGGGAAGATGTTGGTTAAATGATACAAACCATCACTTATAAAAGCAAATAACTTCTGGGGATCTAATGTACAACATGATGACTATAGTTAATAACGCTGTATTTTAAACTTGAAATTCACTAAGACAGTAGATCTTAGTCTGCACCACACACATGCAAAAATGGCAACTGTGAGGTGATGTGTTAATTAGCTGATTGTGGTAATCATTTTACAATGTATGCAAATAGAAATCATTATATTGTACACCGTAAAAATATACAATTTTATTTGTCAAATATACCAGTAAAGCTGGAAAAAAATCCCCATGACAGATGAATGAATAAAGAAAAAACTTGTATGTTCATACGAAATTGAGTATTATTCAGGCTTTAAAAAAACAAGGAAAGTGCTGTCATATGAGATAACATGGATAAACCTGGAGGACATTATGTTAAGTGAAATAAGGCAGTCACAGAAAGAAAATACTACATGATTTCACTTACATGAGGTATCTAAAGTAGTCAAACTCACAGAAGGAGAAAGTAGAATGGTGGTTGCCATTGGCTGGGTACGAGGTGAGAGTTGTTCAATTTGTATAGATTCAATCATGAAATATGAAGAAATTCTAGATATCTGCATTAGAACAATGTACATAGAGTTGTAAATACTGTTCTGTGCAATTAAAAATTTGCCACGAGGGTAGACTTCATAATATGTGTGGGTTTTTCTTGTTTTTTTTT